TAGACATTTTTTCAGCCACCGAGACTCAATTTTGATTGATTAAAAGTGTCAAAGATCTATGGAACAGTTTTAAGCCAATAGAAATAATAATTGAGGTGCGCCACTTTAATTTCGTCTCTTATGTTTTTGACAAGCATTACACTGATCAAATGATTCTCTTTGTGTTGAATGGGCAGGTGGTGACACACAGCTGCAAATACAAGATGCATGGTTGTTAGATAAAGAACTTAGATCAGCACATCATTCTGCTTGTTGGACAGTTCCCTCTGGCGTTAAAAGTCACCGGTTGAGTTCGCTCGACGCACAACCAGAATGCAGGGAGGAAATTTTACGCACCCGCAAAACGTAACTCAATTTGACTCGATATCCAGCTATACAGAGCTTGCTCCACCATTGTTCACTGCTATCATAAGTGTGGGTTTAATCGGAAATTTAATGTTGATTTACACCGCGCTCCGTTGGCCAGAAATGAGAACACCGTGTAACTATCTGATCGTCAACAACGCATCTGCTGACCTCTGTGTGGTTCTCATTGGAGCACCTATGCGGATTGTTGAAGTGTACCACGGATGGCCTCTTGGAGAACTAGCCTGCCAGATTCTTGCACCAACTCAAGATGTTTTCGTCGTGGTGTCGGTGCTAACTTACACTTTGATCGCGTGGGAAAGACACAGAGCTGTCTTGACACCGTTCAAACCTAAGCTAACATTGAGAACGATAACAATCGCCTCCATTTCCATTTGGATTGTCTCATACCTGAGCACAGGACTACCAATTGCATTACATTGCAACTTGCATACTATTCAAGGAACACCACGATGCTTGGCAACGTTTACATCAGACATTACTCGACAAATCTATGAGTCTTACTTGGTGATCTTTTTCATAATATTGCCACTCCTCCTCCAGACATACGCATATTCTCGTGTAGTTCACTGTCTAAGGCGCAAAGGATTAGAGAGATCTTTCAGTGGCTCCACGAGAGGAAGCGTTAAAAGAAAGAGCAAAAAACGTAAGCTCATTCGGGTGACAATACTTATGATGATACTATTTCAAGTTTGTTACATACCAAGAGGTGTGTTAATGCTCCTTTACGAATTCGCGCGCGAGCTAACGACCCATCCATTTTTTGGAAGGATCGATCTTTTTTTCATGGCGCTATATTATGCCAAACATGCCATCAACCCGATAATATTGTTCACTGTAAGTACAGATTTTCGCACTCGATTTCCGTGTAGATTAACCAACGTAGGAAAGTGGAATTTTCCTATGTTCAAAAGCGTGTTCTTAACTCGTAAATCAACTCTGAGTACTCCCTTCATGGAAGCTGAACAAAAACAGCCTATTAATGTTGAGGCGAAACTTTAACGAAACCACTACAAAGACAAACATTTGAGTTGGGGTCAATTTTAAAACATCAGTGTCTACAATTTTCTTTTTTCTCCTGAGATTTTTGAAAGAAAGCCTAGAGTAGCAATAAATTTTGCACGAGACATCTCCCATTACTTTGTGATATAACCATTGCATTCTGAGAGAAAGCGAACCGAAATTTTTGGCTTGGGAGATTTACATATATCTGTCGAGGTAATTAAAATCTACCCGACATATACAAGTACTAAGATGAAGAATGGACCACAAAAAGTAAACATTAAAACAAAACATAGCGTGTCCAGTGTCAACATATATCTAAGTTCAAGTATGGAGTCGTCTCTGTGAAAACATTCCTCTCCAACACGTATCACTCTTTGACGGAAAATTTCTACTGAAAATGAACCAGAGTTTACGAACTTCCAGCTGGTAAAACACGTGGCAGCAGATTCGTGGGTGGGTGCGGAAAAGTTATCTCATAGTAAGTTACCTTTCAACGAAGTAAATTTTTGAAATAGCTTCCCCGATCTCGTTGACGAACATGAAACACGCGCGTGTTCGCTGCTGTGATTAATCGTACCATTTCCTTTTACCAACTGGCGATGCAAACACTAACGTAAGAGGGTGAGTGTTCAAAACTAATTTAGAGTGCAGCTGTAGAAAATAACTGGACCTCATGATTATTTCATCGGTTGGTTTAACTGGGGTAAACAAAAGATTACCAGGATTAGCTACAAGCGTTCTCAACACTTTTTAGAAAAATCAGCGTTTAGCTTAATCTTACGGAGGCTTAGCTGTAGATGGTTTCGAGCGCGCGTTTGCAAAACAACGGTAAGGCCTGTTTTAAAGAGGGTAAGTTGTGATAGTTTTACCGCTAAATTTCCTTACAATGCATAGTAAAGAAATGTAAGAACAGACTAAAAGAAATGATGAACAAAAGTTATTCATGATGGCTCAGAGTGGTGGTGATCGTAAGCCGAGATTGAAGCATGTGAAACTCCGGGCCCTTTCCTTAATTTTTCTCCAACCACCCAAAATGGTTCACATTCTGACCACCGGCGAGATTCACTTTTGAATTATATCACGTTCCGCGTAGATCGCGCCAAGAGTAGTGGCGCAAACCCTTAATATTATATATTTGAGTTACTATGAAAACACTGATGATTGATCGAGAGCATTCAGTTAATATACAGTAGCGTGTGAAGTTTACATCATAAACCAATATTGGGTTATTATGTCGAGTTCAAAGTCTTTCCAAACCCGGCCTAGGTCCTCGTTCGTGTAGTGTTCTCAGACTTTAGCAAACTCAGAGAGAACTGTCCTGTCTGTGTTATCTGTCTCAGCCTCCGACTTTGGCAGATAACTTACACCTCGGCATAAATAATTCATGATATCTTGCTCGACTTCATCTGATAACTGCTTAAAATATATTTACACCCGCTGCAATCAGCTTATCTATCATAACAATTTTATTGAGGTTCAGTAATCTCACACCTCATATCCGACCACAAATCTGGAAAGTCTGCAATAGATAACATTAAATTGACAAAGAATTGATTACAATAGGTACACTGCAATTTAACTCATCAAACAGAAAGCTTCGAAAAACAAAACTACTAAAACACAAATTACAGTTAAAAGTGTGGTCAAATCACTGATAATGAGTTTTTTCAATGCCTTTAATAGGCTTTTATGCAGGTTCAAGAAAAGTATTAAGCCATTCATCAAAAGGGACTTTAATCAGTCATGACGGCAACGCTATGGATGACGTCGATAAAAAAATGAATTTCAGTTTTTAAGCTAGAATTTCGGAAATGGCCGCACGCGTCCCGCCACACGTCAACTTCAGCATACGCAAATAAGCAGCGTTGAGTTCCAAATGGAAATAAAAATAATTTCCTGTCGCGGTTTCCGCACGGATACGACGCAACATTTGATGCATTTGGTGTTTTCACGTTGTTGTTTTGCAGAGGACGGCTAAGAAATGTACACAGTTTTAAAACGCACGTGATAAGTTATTTTTCTGCACATTAGATCTTTTGTTTTGCCTGGTCCTCGTTGTCGTCGCCGTTGTGGTTTGCTTAAGGTCCCTGATATATTATCTAATCAACTCCTTAACCCCCAGAAATGATCAACTTGTGTTCCAACTTAGCTGGTAGGAGTTTCTATCATGATCTGACAACAAATTCTCATAACTAATTCATAGGAAAATGTGTAGCAGCTAGAGGAGAGAATTAAAATTCAGATCTTGGGTGTTAGAGTTTCACAAAAGTTGGTGCACGAGTAAGAAGCTGCCACTCTACCAGTCTTAGTTAACAACTATGTACAAGTTATTTTCGGTGTATTTGAAGTGTGCTCAGAAAAAGTTCACTCGCATAGGTGTCAGAAATCTGTTAACAGCAGGTCACTTTCATTAAAAGTGATAAACATTCGGTTCTGCGAATCATTTTGATCAGTTCAATTCCAATTTTTTAATTAACCCTTTTGCCCGTAATAGCGACTGGCATATAATGTAAATGTATCGAAAACAGTATGACGAATACGTTTACTGATATTAGGGTGGAAAGACTGAGATAAAGAACTTAACTTCTAAAAATTCTTCGCAATGACAACTGATGTTAATAAAGCTTCAATGCCTTTCCTTTCAGTTTTTTCTTTAACTTTATTCAGGGAAAACACCCACAAATATCGGGCAAGCGTGCAACATGCTGATTAACAAAACATCAAGTCTGGATTCTGTTGAATTATGATAACTGGATGAAATGGGACAATTTGCTATCGATAGACCGAAAAGGCAAAACATTACGAATTTAACCAATTAAAGCACCCTTCCTAAATATATAAATATTCATTTCTTTCAACATCATTAAGTAATAGTTACAAAAAAAAAATTCAATCATGGCCAAGAGTCTTCGGACACTACACAAACGCAAGGGAAAATAACGCGTCTTTATCACGTCATTTTCCTCCCCTCCTTCCCCCGGACAATATTGATTTTATCCTCTTTGATTGCTGACAACATTGGTTCTGGAAAGGGAGGGAGTGTAACCATTGTTAGGGCCCTAACAGCGCATAAATATGTATAGGTAATGTATTGAGTACGTACCGAAAGGACTCTCGACCAGGATTGTAAATTAAATGAATGAGATGCAATTATATTAACAGCGTTTCGCTTAATTTTTTCTGAAGGAGAGGAAACGAGTGAAGTAATGAAGAGTGTTTAAAAGAGATAACTAAGTCAGGTTTGACGATACACTTCCGGTTCATACCAGTTGGTGCAGATAAAAAGCTTATAGTTTTTCTTTTCGTTTCTTTCTTATTTCTTTCTTTTTTATTTCGTTCCTTTTTCTCAGAAAGTAATCATAAACTGGTGAAATGAAAATCAGCAAAGCTAGAGGTTGAGTTGAACACAGCAATTAAATCAACAGAGGCAGCGATACTTCTGCTCTCTACCTCTCTGAAAAAGAACATTCGCTCAACCGCTGACCTCTCGTTGCATGCTCGTCTTTCCCGTCATCGCTAATTGGTTAAAAACAAGAAAAGTAACTTAGCAACGATCAATCACAGATATAACACAACAATTTACGAAGCAATGTAATAAGTGTGTTTTTTGGGAATATTTTCGGCGCGAATTTAAAAGGAAAACGGGCGACCTTTATAAGACATCTGTTTCTTCCAAATGGAACTAGTTTTTACATGAACTGTGCATTCCTTCCGTGTTGAAGATCACTTCTTTCTTCGTTTTAACAATGCGTTACTTGACTTGCCAACATCTTTTAGCTTGGTCACCTTGTCAGGCTCAAATCTCATGGAGGCTAAGGCATTTGTCATCTCATCCTGAAAACCAGAAAATAGAACTCATTCGTGAATGCAAGACTAGATGCCGTTTAGGTAGGCTGATAGTTTCATTTACAACTTGGACACCTATTATTGAATTAGGACACAAGAAAAGGAAGACAGGACTCAAACCACTCTAGTTCCCTCGTTCATCTCCGTTGGGTGATGTTGCGCGAAGAACAATCGCCACATCTCAAAATCCTCGTAGATCAAATTTCATCAATTACCAAAATTTACTCTTGTTATTAAGGCTATCGATAACACCAAGAAATTGTAGTGGGGACTTATCTAACACTACGACTCTATACCACTCCAAATGCATTTCGTACTGGTCATGGCTTTTATGGCTGTCACGCAAAGTTCACCTATGAAGTATTACGATCGGTTGAGATAAAGAACTTCTTCACACGACAAAGAACTCCTTACCTTGACATCTTGCCAGTTTTCTTCCTCTTCTCTCAAAACAGCTGCCGTGTGCAGTGGTGTGGATGGAACCTCTGTGTAAGCCTGTAGAAAGAAAAATAATAAATCTTAAAAATTAAGTGAAATCAGTTGTCTGCAAGTCATTGGAAACTCTCGAGCGTATTTTTAAGAAAAAAAAAACCGAAACGATGACTTCGAAATTACAACTTTACGTCGCTACTCGAGTTGATGAAATGTCTCAGCACTGAAGTATCGTCTACATGAAGGTTTAGCGAAAGCCATCATGCAACTCTAAGTCGCTAGGCAAAAGACGCAAAATTTCCTCTCAGATCAAGTAAGCGTTCTTGCACACTTACTTTGCCCTTCCTCGCTTAGTTGTAAATAATGGTGTGAGCCGACGAAGTAGGAGGGCAAACAGTCTTAGATCTAGAGATTATAATTTCTTGTCTTAGATGTATTATTGCTGTAAAGAAGTTCACATCATTAATTGATATGCCGGCAGGTTACCCAGGCCCTGGGTGACTCTCTTTGAGAGAAAAGGGCACAAAGTCAGAGCAAAACAGACGAGTTTCCATCTCATAAAAGTAGTCTTCTTAACATACCTTAATCCAAGGATTGTTCATAACTTGCTCCACAGTGAACCTGTTCTGCGGATCTGTCCTTAGAAGGCCTCTTATTAATTCCTTAGCTGTTGCAAAAAAATTGTTCACTCATTTAAAAAGTAAATAACGACTATGACACATTTATAACGTTAACTTGGGTTTCGCGAAAGTCAGTAGGGGAGCTCTGACTCGAAGTAGTGTGCTTATTTCGTTTTTCAAATTTAAAAACTCTAAAGTATTCTTTTTTATTTATTAAATGACTTTCCTGATTTGCTTTAAAAAACAGTTTCCCAACCCTATAGGTAACAATGTAACATACACTGGACCAGCTTGCAAGCAAGTGCTGATTATATGCGCTCCAGAACGCGCGTCTTTTCCGCCCACGGGAAGTTTTGAGACGCGCCGGGGAGAGTATTCAGTGCCAGACCCCTAGCAGACCTCTCATTCGCGTTGCTCAAAGACTCATACTTTCCCGCGAAAAAAGAAACGCTCGTGCTCAGTGGTAATAGACCGTAACAGTGAGGGCCTGATTGGAGCGATGATCCTCATAAGGTGGGGAGGGGTGGTTAAGATGTCTGGTATTCTTGGCTAGTTAAGCATTACGTAACTATACTAAACAGCTATTCTCGAATGTTCTAGTCTTCGATGAGGGCTTTTTAAAAGTAAAGAAAAAACGGGTGAGTAAAACGTTATTCCCATCCATACCTTGTGTAGACACCCTGCTCCACTCTGGGTTAGGGAAGTCATACTGGCCTTGTCTAATCCGCTTCCGCATTCCAGGAGAAATGGCTGCTCCGTGATTGCTATAGAAAGGCGGAAACCCACAAAGGCTACAAATAAACAAAAGACAGACAAACTTAATTAGGCGCAACCTTTAATGTACGCGTACCTCAATGGATGTCGCAATATCTCAAACGAAGTTAAAAGCATATATTGTGATTTAATTTTTTAATAATTCGAAATCTTTTTTCCTGTTTCAAACTGTATTAGCACAAGCTATCATATCCAGAGAAAAATTCATCTAAAAAATACTTACAGAATGTACATAATGACTCCCAATGACCACAAATCACACATCTTGTCATAACTCTCTGGGCCTAACACTTCAGGTGCTGAATGTGGTGGACCAAGAAAAGTGACAATTAGTAGTCGCTAATTGTGCCCTTACTTACATGTAAATTAACAGTATCCCACGTTTTATGTCTGTGACAATACTCAGAAGTTGAAGATGCTCACAGCTATTAAATTTTTCTCCCCCGAGGCAAGGAACTGGCTTCTTGAGACGAGACGAAAGATTTCCATTTAACCGCATGCTATTCTCAAGCAAAGCATAAGTCCAAAAGGTTAACTGTCACTTCCACCATTGTTTTCATTAATGAAATAACTGCATAACTGCTTTCACGGTCACGTACAATGAAGCATGGGGTTATACCGAAATCTTTCTCGCGATACTATTGATTTCCCTTCTGAACAGAATGAGTTTAAATTCAATTAATTGGCAAAAAAACAGTGGAAAGGCAGAAAACACGTTCTGTTCGCTTTTGGCCGAAGTGAAGCTACTTCTTAATCTCTCTTACAACAAAATTGTTGCTTACCGATAGTAAACTTGGAAAGTCATAAACAGTGCACTGGCTACATGCATATAATTGTACATCAAGTAAAGACTTTGTAAATTATGAAGTGACCGGATTTAAACTTTTAGATGAAAATACTACCTTAGTCTCCAAGGAACACAGATAATCTATGATATTAACCCTTTCAATCTTAAGATCTTATTAGTAATTCTCCCAACTGGCCTGCCATAAAATTCTTATGATGTTAATAACGAGAATTTTGTATTGGATAGTAATAATCCCCTAACTGATAATTTTCTTTTTCTCATCACTTGTCTCCTTGATATTGTATTGATATTGCAAGGACAAATTCCGTCTTGGTCACTCATGGGAGTTTAGTACAAGGATGTTCAGGGCTTTTAGAGATCAAACTTACCAACATAGTAAGGAGTGTAACAAGGAGTTTTAAGATCCAAGCCAGTTGTTGTTTCCTTGGCAAAACCAAAATCTGTCAGCTTTAGCAGAGCATTGTGAGTTCGATCTAAATACAACAAGTTCTCAGGCTGTAAAAAAAAAAAAAAAAAAAAGTATAAATGAAGTGAATACCAATGGGGTTCAAAGTGTGTTATTCACAATATGCTTTATGTTAAATGTTAGATCAGTACATATTATGGTACACTGTACCTTCAGGTCCCGATGCGCGATGTTAAGTGAGTGAAGATGAGCAATGGCTATAGTGACCTGCCGCACAATGGCAGCTGCCTCTGAAAAAGCAAGTGGGAAACATCTCAATAAATTGTACACTATCAGCACTTTCAACTTACAACAATTTGTAGTTTTAAGAACACTGATGCTGTGACTTATTCTTTCCTGTAGCATGAAATCACCAATAAATCTGCACTTTGTCACACCTACCTCTCTCGGTAAACGGAGAATCGCCCTCTGTTGAATTCTCTCAAACAGCTCTCCACCAGTCATGCTACAAGAAAACAATTATTCAGTGTGAAAATGCAAATCAGGAGGCTGAGTCGCTCGAATCCTCTCACATCGTATGCGTATGTGAATTTTCCTTTCACTTGAGCAACACTGTATTTTAAAATTGCAACAATATCTCCTTGGGATGACTCTCATACATATGTGTATAATTAGGCCACCAAAATAATTAGCAAAAAATCCAAATAAATTTTAAAAACCTTCAAGCTTTGACTTCAATTCAAATTTTCCGATTCAATTTTTCATTTAAGTTTCCAATTCTCAGATAAAAAAATAACTTTGCAAAATTGGCTTGATATCATAAAAATTATGGGTTAATTAAAAAGACTGTATTTGTTATCTGATGCTTTGCTCAGTAGCCTAATATGAGAAAGAAGGTTGCCTGCTGTTTTGTAGAAACACACTCATCATATATGTGTGAGTGTTATTTAGTTTTTACCCACTCAGCAAAGAAACTCTAACAATGGTCAACAGTTAAGTCCTCAAATTTGAAAACTGCCACAAAACAAAATAATGATAACCACTCAGCAAAGAAACTCTAACAATGGTCAACAGTTAAGTCCTCAAATTTGAAAACTGCCACAAAACAAAATAATGATAACCACTCAGCAAAGAAACTCTAACAATGGTCAACAGTTAAGTCCTCAAATTTGAAAACTGCCACAAAACAAAATAATGATTACCAAAAGTTATACAATACAATACAAATCCTATTCGCCATTCCTAAAAAGAAAGGTGTTTATATCACAAAATTAATAAGTTTACAGTACTTTTTACTTTTTTAAAAACAAATTTTTAATAGATGGCAAGGGGGCCCCCAGAAACCATGAGGCTTATATCAAGGAGGCCTCCTTAATAAAATAAATAAATAAATAAAGAAACCTTTATATATAAGCAATATGCATTCAAACCACCAATTAGCATACTAGTATCTATCAATTTAGAAAAAAAACTTTTAGGACATCTTCTAAAAGAAGCAAAAGTTTCAAAGTCTCTAATATCTTTAGGGTTAGGAATTCTTCAATTTTGATCCTTGAAATGAAAAAAATTACCATTCCATGATGACCAGTAAGCAATCACTCCTGGCATACTTGTTTTCATAAACATCCTTGATACCAACAATATAAGGGCATCCTGTTGCCTTCCAATGAAGTTCCACCTCACGCCGAGCTTTTGCATTGTCCTGTAGAACCTTCAAAATATCAAAAGACTAGTTAGAGTTTTGATAAAATGTAGATAATCACGCAGAATTGAAATTTATATCCTCATAACAATTGAACACAGCTTATCCGAGAGTGAATTTTCAGAACTGGCAACCAAGGTCAAAAGAGGTGTCTATCCAGCAAACAGGTAACAAGAATACGAACTTTTTGTGACTAGCAAACAAGGAAACAGATATATTTCATCGCAATAAAGATAATAGGTAATGGCAATAGCACTGAATGGAGAACAATTTGGTTTGTAATGATGAATGATTGACAACCATGAAGCAGGAGTCCCATTTTACTTACCAGCATGTTTACAAACAATTGAATGATACAAAGTCATGTTACCAAATAATCCAAATTATTGAGAAACTATCTAGCCATTGGTTTTTTATTTAACAGTTAACTCTGAGAAATAAGTGACAACAAAAAGCACACACAACATATACTGCCCAAATATGCAGGCATGACACATACACAATCCTTAGCATTGATTGGTGCCAATGAAACAACTGGTTGCTGGAATCATTGTTCATTTCCTGTAATGACTAATCAGTTCATTTTGGTTGTATTCAGAAGACCCAGTGAAAAGTACTGTCATAGTAAAACAGCAGGGAATGACAAGAACAATTATATCAGTTTGTGGAGGTGACCATCTTATAAAGGTGAGTACACAACCACCAGGGCATGAAATTGCGCCTAATACAGGCACCAATGTGACTCAATTTTTTACTTTGGCGACCAAATCCTGAAAATTAGTTGCCAAATTGGTGACTAGAATGTTTCATCATAACCTTACCTAGAGAAATAGTAAATTAAAAAGATTTGCAAAGATAAATCAGTGGCAAACTTCCTCATTAAGTTTGTTTCCAAAACGCAACACATGCATCTCAATCGATAACTAGAATTAGGATGGATTTAGGTGAGCTTGAACGTTGCATATCATCCATTCTATTGTCAACTTTGTAACACGTTAACTGAACTTAATTTCTAGAACAATGACAGCGTAAAAAAAAGGGTTTGTTTGTCTTTGAAAATGGCAACCAACTTTTTTTGAATTGGCTACCACTTTGAATAATTTAGGAGCCAAGTGGCTATCAGAAAAAAAAAAATCAATTTCACACCCTGCACCACCTTTCCCTGTTCCTGTCTTACGTAAAAAAATCACATCATACCTATATCACTCAACCAAATGCAGCTGTATTTTTATATTTATACTTCAATATACTTATATCATATATTTCAATGACTATATAATATCCATCTAATGAGAATATTAAATAGCTTTATACTCATTAACTAGAAGCTACATGAACTTGAGAAAATAGCACAAAGCTTGAGGACCAATGTAGGTCAGGTTAACTTTAAACTAGTTCAAGAGCATACCAGTGTAGATTAAATAAAATGACATCTTGCAAATAATTATAAGAAATTCGGGTAAAATTTTTGCACAGCCCCATACTATTGTAAAACAAATCTGTTTTCCCAATTGCAATATATTGTTTTTTGACATTGTTTTCTCTATCCAAGAACTGAATGCATAATGTAGTATGGGGCTGTGCGGAAATTTTACCGAAATTTGCACACAAGAATCGCCAGATTCAAATATTTGTAAATTGTGTCAGAGGTTCTGGCCACCCTTCAGGACTTAGTCCCACACAAAACTGTTAAAAAATGCGACGGATATCATTTTTACGGTGCATGCAATTTTTTGACACTGTGGCACTGTACGTGCAATATGAACAATTACTCTAATCAATCCTATGAAGGCTACATTGCTGTTAACAAGGGTTCTGCCTTGTTCTCGAAGATTTCTGAAGTCGCACAATTTTCTAGTTCCAATTCATATGCATGGATAAGGAAAAACAACCCGACGGTGACTTTCGTTACTATGTACATTCATGCATGTAAGTGAAAATAATCTGACGGGAAACTGCCGAAATATGAAGTTTTTTAACAAGCTGCATGTAATGGAAAGACTACAAGACTTACGTAATCCGAATCGAACAAAGTTCCCGTTCAATGCACCGAAAAAGAATTAGCGAAGAAATAAACGATCGGATGCAAGGAAATGGAGAACATACGGTGTGTAAAATAAGTTAACCGCATCGCCTACACGATTGATTTTCAACATCACAATTAAGATCGCCTGAGAAAACGTGCATTTTCAATGCTAAGAACAACAAATCCTGACAACGTTGACTCAGTTAATGGTGGTTAATCATGGTAGTTTTACTCACCTTTAAGGCGTATTGTTTTCCTGATTTCTTCTCAAAACACTCTACAACTTTGCCATTAATTCCCACACCTAAGACCCTTTGCGAGAGGTCATAGTCGTTTGTAATGAGAGTGGTCTTCGCTTTTAGTGGCGGAGGTAACTTAAACAACAACTTATTACTCGATGACATGACTTAATGCTTGTAAAAACACTATAAGAGTTCGTACAAGACGATAACTATCGCTATCACTCTAGCTAGCGAGAACGATGAACTAAAATATGCAGAGCCCGTGAAAAATTACCAAGCCGCCATGTTTAATTTCGAGCAACAACCTAAAAGACTGGGTCAGAAACACATCTATTTTAGGTGCCGGAAGTTGCATGATATTTCGCAATAGACAGGAAAGTTGAGTAGAACGGTAAGCAAATTTTAAAAAAATTGGCCAACCCACTCAGAAATATCGTTGAATAGATTGGAATAAACGGAACAAATTTCTTTTTGATGAATTGTTGCAGGATTTGTTGTCTTGAGTGAATGTTATTGACCAGAACCGCTTTGGAGGGAAAATATGTCGGCTTTGAAGTTCTGTCTGGCAAATAGCTGCACGTCGGACCGCAAAAATTAACATGTAAACACTGCTATTTCCGGTTGCCTCGACCTTTGTTTGGCATGCGTCAATAACTTAAACTTTTCAAGATAAGATTACAGAATATAAAAATGGAAATGTTCAAAATGATTTTTTTAAGGGTCGTTTATTCAAAGTCCATCGCTAGAATATTGTAACTGAGAAGTTGTCTCTTTATCAAAAGACAACTTCAAAGCTTGGACCTCGGCCTATAATTCCATTGTATTACAATGGAAAACAAACCTTGAAAAAGGACATCCGATTGATTTCCGACACGAAAATTAATTTTTCGATAGGGAAAATACCCTGACTGATTTTTGAACGGTATGTTACGCCATACATCCGCAACTCTGAATAGAAACGTATGGTGCTATTTATATTTAGGATACAATAATACCCTCGGTCACTTACCATATTTAAATTTGGCTCTCAGACTCTTAGAGTTCAGGAGACTCTCAGAGGCTACTCAAGGGTAGATTCAGTTATTGATAGCTGAAAGAAACCAATGCTATTAAGCATAACTGACATTATTGCTCGCTGTGGCAGCTCGTGCGAAGCATTTTTTCTGCGAGTGTCTACTTTCGCGGTGATTTTGTGTCCCTAACATTTTCCATGTTTTTTGCTCTCTTTTGCACTCTCTATATTCTCCTGTATACTCCGCGGCGTTTCATCGCGCCGTCTCCTCCCACGGCTTTGACCCATCTTTTACTTTCAGCTAAATTCCTATTCTGTTACTGATAGGTACTGTTACTGATAGGTTTCCTAATCCATTTATTTCTGGCTCTGAAAGATCCATTTCCGGCGTGTTCGGGCCCGCAAGCCCTAAGCATCCCCCAGTGAATGTGTCGGTTTCCCGACGGGGGTTATTTTCCCAGACACTTAACAAAGTGTTTTGTTTTTGCGTCAGCCTTTAAGATACTATATTGTATCTTAACTACTGAGGGAACACGACAGACAAGTTTGAAGTTTGAGGGACCCTGAAATGTGATAGGAAAGTGCTCAAATAAAAAAAAAAACATTTTGCCGAATAGTTCATAATGGCACGCCGGGTCAATTAGCAGGTTAGTTTTATTTTCAAAATTCTGCAATATCTCGAATTGATTTTGGTATAGGCGTTAGGTATAAGGGGTTGTTATTTTTATGAAAATATAATTGTGACAACTGGCAGTAACATATCGATGTTGTCGCATAAACCATTTTTGATTCCGTATAATCGGATAACGGTATAAACATGCTGGTTTAAAAACAATTCTGTCGTCAATTTTTCCAAAACTTGTTTTTCTACAATAAAAATTCTTGTTCGGTCATAAACAAGTTCACCTAAATAAGTAAACAAAAAATTGAGAGGAGGGGAGAAGCACTTTTGGTCGAAATTTTCAGTCTTAAGCTCTTGCGTTTCATAGACTTTATCAATGACTTAGATAATAGCGATCGGCCCTCAAAGTCAGTCAATAAAGGCAAATATCAAATCTGATAGTTGTGGCCGATCTCAAAAGAATTAAAAAGTTAAAACAAATTCACGAATTGTCTTGTTTTTCTATAAAACTTTGTCAGTCAAACAAAGAGTTGACGCTTAATTTTATCTGATCAAACTGGTTTCCTTTTCGAAGCTAAAGATATTAATTGGTAGTACAAAAGAAATTCACCAAAGTAAGAACTGTGCTTTGTGCAATCAATATAAGTGGAAAAAATTAGCATAAAACCTTATCAAATGCAAAGTGTGGTTATGGTATTGGGTACTAGCAGATGCGGTAGGATTCATGTACCCGTTAACGATTAACAAATAGTGCTATCATTGACGGAGACTCGCTCTACAAGCATTAAGTAAACAATAAATTTCACACGAGAAGTTCAATTCCCAATCAAGATTAAACGTAGGTTAATTTCCGTGTAAGAAGAACATCTTATTATTTGTCCATTTGATCTCTAGATTGGTCCACCAAAAAATTTTGGCCTAAAGCGCCACTAGAAATTTACGGAAACAAGATTATTTGCATACTTACCAGCTGCAATCATAGTTGTAACATTAAATATTAAACTCTATACTCACTTTTTCAGCAGTTTTATAATTCTCTGCGTAGGTGTTAATAACAAGTGAAGAAAAACACTATCGTTATATTTTTAAAAAATTCATTCTTTACGTTTCCTTCCATTTATTTGTCTTCTTGTTAGATCTATTTGGAAAGAAACAAATCGGAGAGCTTTGAGGCGCCTTAGGTAAGTAGGAGGCACGGGTTAGATTTTGGTTTAGTTACCTTTTCTTAATCCTTCAGATTTGCATTGTATGGCAAGTCACCTGTAATACTTATCCACTAGAAATCATCAAGAAACAACTTGGGCGAGGATTAAAACAGTAAGTCGGGCTACATCGGGTTTTATTCATAATTGAATTAAGAGAAAGTAATTGAATTAGAGTTTTGGCGTTTTTTGTAAATTTCAACACTATTTTCACGGCTTTTCTGGTTCGGAGATAATCAAATATAAAGCTTTCCCGGAGCGATCTGGATTGTAGAGTTGGATAAAAAGGATGGAAAACTAAACTCACTCAATTTAAAACCCTGAGAGCATTTGAAAGCTGATAACTGAGCCAATATCAGGGAAATAGAAATTCTTGATAACTGTAAATCTAAAGTGTATTCAATTTAAAATCAAACCGATCTATGATTCTGGTTGACGCTGACTTTAACTTGAAGAATGTCTCTGACAGGCTATTCCCCAAAGCTTCTGCGATCTCATGAGCTAATTTTCACTTGTCAGACTTCTAATACTGGGATTAACCTGAAAACCAAATTTAATACAATGAGCTTGGAAAAAAAAACAATAACAATTCTCTTGAAGTAAAAGCCTTTTCGCGAATGCAGGTTATTTTTGAAAGAAGATTATTGTCTAACCATAAATACTCAGACATTCATTTCCTTTCTGAGTTATTTGGAAGCGCTCGATAGCCAGAGAAACCGATTTAGAACTTTCCAGTAGTTTTCCTTCATTTTTCTTGATATTATCAGTTGATTGCCTGCAGTAACGCCTTTCAGCAATTTTCCACTTGCGTTATGAATGCAATAGCAGCAATATTTGTAAGAAGAAAGTCGCCAGAACAAAGGTGGCGTCAAAACAAACTTAATTTACTTGTTTGGAAACTTTTCCTTACTGCTTTTCTTCCCAAAAACACAAATAAACTCCCACACATGTTGGACAAAATCATCAAATAAATCATTTATTCGAAATCGAAGTTTTTAAGATGTCTGGAGAGGTTTGTAATTCAGAAATTGAACAAAAATGGAATTCGTGCTGACCAAATATCAGATATTACGCTAATTCGACATGATGCATGCCCAAAATTGTTAAATAAACCTGCTGATTAAATTCAATGGTGAGCGCTATCCATTTAGTCTTTCCTGTGTATGACCGTGTTGGGTCAAACAGCTTGTAAAGTCAAAAAATTAAATCAGGTGCAAGTTAACGCGCTTAGTCGGCATACATTTTAATCAAATTAGCGCTACGTTAGGATAACCATATAAGGCCATTGTTATACTCTTGGACCTGTTGAGCGGACATTCACAGGACTCTCTCTGGAGCCCGCTTCGATCACCGGTGTTCCCTTGTTGTAGAGTTTTTCCACTGGTAATTTTACAAAACGCGATGGTCAAAATTAGAAAATGCTGATCAGTGACAGACGTTTGAATAACTGAGGGATATGCTATGCCTTTAGAAGAAAAAGCACTTAACCATTTATTAAAGTAGCATTGTATCTTATTTTATTACCGATGTAATACCTCAGTGAGTTTTCAACAGCAAAATTAATTATAAAAGAAGACATGTTTTGAGAGTCAGCAAGAATGTGGGACGCTGTATCATTCAAAACCCTTGTTATCAAAAAGATAAGTATGACCGTTTTAAATCAGATGATTTCAAAATCCCTAAGTCGTTCGGATGAAGAAATGATTTTCAAAATACTTTAACGTGCATAGATAGAACGCGTGTCATGATAATTAGCTTAGAAAATTGACCTTTGTTAAAAGCCGGGTGAAGGTTTACCGAGTGTTAACTCACAGCTTTACTTATTTCAGACATGGCATCTACAGAAGCTTTAAATTCAGGCACTCACTTGATATTTAATCTATCAGAGTCACTCTCCAACAGAGTAAAACATGCAATCTTCATTTCACTCAAACAGTTATTTTATATTGATTTCCGGTCGACATTTATTCAATACAGTACTGCACATACATGCAACCAGTCAAGCACATTTACTGTATATCATGAAATGCCGAAAACTTTAAAGGTACCCGTAAAAATATGCGTAATTAACCAAGCGTGAGGTCAAGATAGCTGATGAATATAGGCCGAATTCTCCTTTCGCGATATTATGGACCGAGAAGTCGGTGTTCACTAAGTCGTATTAAAGGAACCGGGCTATGTAGAGCCATCTTGATCGATCAAGCTTGGTTAGTGAAGGATTCTTTTATACAACAAAAAGATGTCGTTTCAATAAGAATCAAGAATGACTTGATAATTTTTCCTTTATTTTGACTATGTCTACCGCTAGTTACGATTCCATCGTCTAACATTGTCCGAAAATTTTAAACTTTGTAAGTCCGCTCCACGCAATTCTTTGTTCTGTACGGGATTAAAGCGGGCAATCTCGAGCGGGCAAGATAGGCCCATATTGCCCGCACAGATAGCCAGTCAGAACACAGGATTCACTTCATATTGCTTATGGGCGCTCTCAGCTTTATTGGTGATGACGCGTGTTTAACTGCATGAACACCGCAATATCAATCGAACGGATCGGACTAAATTGCTATACAAGGCGAGCACAGGTGAAGGACTCGAGAAGACTGATACTGGGATCACTTCATCGCTTCCACTTAGGTACTAATAATTCAAACACTAGTAATCTCAGGGTAACAATTTAACATGTAGAAAGATTCATGAATCGGCCTGCTCAGAGTCAGGCCAGGAAGTTTATGCTATTATAGCCTGTGGGTGTTATTAAGGCCATATTTTCTTAGCTCCAACTTACGCTTTCACACAAAATCCAGCCAAATCACACATGCCATGCATTCAACGTTAACACTTTCATTTCGTGATTCAAGCTACCTGGATGTACCGCGACGTGTTCTGTTCTTCATTGTAACGTTTTCAGTGATGCAGTACGCACGTAATTGCATGTCATTAAGAAAAGATTTACTAACATTATCTTTATAGTCTTGCGAAACCAAGTTATTTGTATGAAGCTTAACAACTTAATTGCATTTCTAATTCAACGTAACCTTCCGTTTATCCGTTTCATTTTCCCCACACAATTACAGGTATGTTTTATGGCAACATATAAGTTTCAGTGTCAAATTGCGGTTCTTATGAATATGGAAAAATTTACAATCATTACAAAATATCTCTAGATCTATTCCGCAAGCATTAATGATACGTGGAGTAAGATTATTCTCATTTTGTGCTTAACATTTCAACTCCATCTTAAATTGATAGGCAGACTTTTGTTTCTTAAAATTGCATGAGACATATCAACGGTTGGAAAAATTGTGCATTTATCAAGTTAGACAGTTGATGACGCAAATTGTGCTTTTAACGGTTCGTACGTGGTTATATCACGGGTGAATAACAGACATAGCCCTAAGGGTTATTTGCAGTCTAACTTTAAATAGCAAAGGAGGGTGTTCAAGGCCCCCCCCCTCCCCACCCCCACCCTTGATTTTTCACGATTTTTTTTTTTTTTTTTTTTTTCACTGATACATGAATTATGAGTAATTCTATATAACTGAACTTATATCGGACGAATGTGCTGTGGAAAATAGTAACACTTGTGACTAACTGTTACTGAGTGGTGAGGGAATAAAATTATTGTGCAGGCATAAATTTTCAAATGGTAAGCGAAAGATGTCATGCTGAAGACTTGACTAAGGTTTTTCCTCAGATCTAACAGTGAGATGCAAAGACTTTGACCCAGTAATTAATTATGCTGACTCAGTGGACGAGATCTTTAGAAGACTTAAAATAGCCGGTAGTCTGACCAAAGAAAGAAATCTAAATTTGTGCTCTTTAAAAATGATTTGTGGTCTCGGATCCTATTTGGGGCAAAACTGGAATGTTTCGAGAGCTTTGTACATTTCCGAGCAACTTGAAATGAAATATGTTAAGTGATGATAATAAAATTACCTTGTTTATATTTAGTGAATGAATAAGAGTAGGAACACTTTAGTAAAATCTCATTTCATGCACTCTTGGGGCAAGTTTCCTATTTTTCGATCAATGTTAGCCTGATCTTATATATCAAGGCAAGATATTTTAAAATCATTCCTCCTTATCGGGGTCGATCTTGAATTTTTGTATTGCATCCATAGTGGAAAACATTTTGTCCCTCAGAGGGCCAGATTTGGATGAACAATACATGATTTTAATACTCTATGAAATAAGACGGTCATGAGAAGGAACGAAAATGCCATCTTTAGGCGGCAGTTTTGGTTCAACACAAATATCTTCGGGCTAAATTTTTACATAGGTAAAGCCGCAGACAGCACGGAGATGTGTTTTGGACATTATCTTGGCACTAAAAGGTTGATAAGGTTTGCAAATAACTTTCCCAAACTTTTAGCCTAAAATAGAAGACTGTTTGTAATGAGATAAAAACGAAAGAGATTTTCTGTTGTTTGGAAAATAAAGATCGAAAAATTCGCAATTTCTTGTTCTTACAAGTATCTCCAAGCATATATAGTTCATTTCTGTCGACATGCAAATAAGCTCCCTACATGCAGCTGGCCTTTGCTGTCGGGATAAACCCAACCAAACTTTATACTTTGAGATTAGGGAACAAAGGCAGAATTGGAGTTACCGTTAAGAGATTTAAGCAAGCGTTCCTTTGAATTTACTTGAAATGTTCTTGCATTGTTTCCGACCGGGTAAACAAAACGTTTTTTATGGGGATTCAGAGACAAAATACACCACGCCTGAGGCTATTTAGGTATTTTACCAGCCAGACTGCGGAGGAGGAATGATATTAAAAAGTGAACACCTCACTGTTAGCTTTGGATATTCAAATTTAAAATCGTCAGCTGTATTGAACTAACTACATGGCCGTCTAGTGACGTTTGGATAACGCGCTGTGCAGACTCTTTCGAGAAGGTTCACCCAATTACTTAATCTTGCAGTGTGGGGACGGAAAACGTTTGAAGCCGTTGTCACCGCTGGCAGCCTCGAATATATAAAAGTAATGTATACTTTGTAGGTTTTAGAACCAGTCGGAAATTTTACTTTATGAGTAGATTTGCTATTGTCCTCTTAACATCAGTATGTCTTATTGTCCCATGCAGAATTTATATCCGGACAGTCTGATATGTCACTTTGGATATGTTAATTTTAACACAATGTCAACCCAGTTCTCGCTTTTATCAAAATAAGAACAGTTTTCATTAAAGTTCTCAATTCAACTCGAAGAAAAGATCTTTCGGGTATGAAAGTTCTCCAGGTTTGTGTTCATGTCTTTCTTTTAAAGATATGAACGATTTTTTTAAGATTTATAAATTCAATGAAGTGAACTCGTCTTTTTTGGATACATTCAGCAGCTGCTCGTGCTTGATCAAACTTCATTAAACTGAATGCACATTTTCACCTGGGAAAGTCGGGAATAAACCAGGTAACAAATTACTCTTTTGAAATTCATTCTGTGCCCTAAAATTTAGTTGAGGATAAAAGAGAAGTGAAAATTATGTTGGTGAAAGGTTTCAAATCTTCGCACTCTTCATTCGATATCTGCAAAATAAACAAATAAATATGTACGTGCTAATTTATAAGCGTGATTCGGCTCGATTTGAGAACGGCCCAATTTTTGCTCGATCCTAAAATTAATTCAAGAGATGTTCAGAAATTATATAAACAAAAAATTGTCAGGGAGAATGAAAGATAAAGGAAGGGCAGAAAATGGAACTGAACCAGCTGTAAATATAAAAATTTTCCTTCCGCCTATAAAACAAAAATGTCGTCATCGGACTTTGTAATGTTATTAAAAATACAAATGTGTATACATTAATGACGGTGGCCAGAGAAACCCCTTAGCATTTAACTGAATCTTCTAACCAATCTACCTTAACAAACGCAATAATTTTGATTCTTCACTCAAAATGCTCCTCTTAAGCTGAAAAAAAATCAAATTCTTTCATGATGGTAAATGTTAATTTTTCCCTTGGTCAAATTGACGTGGCCAAGTAAGCTTGCTGTGTGCGTGTGGGCGGTTATTAAAGAAAGAACAACAGTTTAATTCTGAGCTCACGTTGGAAGCTGAGAAGACACGTATCGTAACCATGCAACTCCTTACAAGATCATAAAAAGGTCCAATGACCCAGTTCACAGCCCAACTAGAGATTTAAACGCAAGATATTCTACACTGTAGGCAATTTAAGAAAACATTCTGATCAACCGGTTATCTTATCTGCTATTACAGGTCCTCAATTTGAGGGACGTTAAAAATTTTTTTTTTTTTAACAGTTCCGATTTCACCTCAGGCATTAATAAGGACTGCGTCACAGTATAGAGTAGCGTCTAGCTTTGATACAATTTCGCTTCCAAACTACAACTTTACGTACGTGCAGAACAAACGATCTATGAACACCAAGGGGTAAATTGTGTCTATAATTATCTAACTTAGCTATCTGCCATTTCGTTCCATTAATCGCAGGATGCTCAAAATTAAACTTTTAATTCTTTCGCTTTTAGCAAAAGATGAAAGGGCACAATTAAACTTAGTCTTTGTATAAAGTTGTCTGTATTCTTGGCTTCAGTCTTCTCTCACCGTTCTACTCCTCATCATGACTTCTTTCCAGTTGTGAATTTCGTGATCTGTGCCGTAAAAACATCGATGTCAAATTTTACCACTTTAAACGGTCATATGTAAGTAAACAACCTGAATCAAGCAAAACAATCATTTTGCACGCCTCCAATTCGCACACTGATGTAAAAAGTAGAAACTCGCCCAGCCCGCTTTTAGGGCGAGCGCTTTACAAAAAGTCGAACTCAGCAAGCGTTTTCTACACCAGTTTTATTTTGGACTCCTTCGCAACCGTACCGAACGAAAAGGTATGAAAAAAAAGGTTTTTAATTCCCATAGCTGGTGCAAGGTAAAGAAAATTCTAAAATGTGGGTCTAACCTTTTAAAATGCATCTCTATTCAATTTTTGATTGAAACAATGTCAGAATGTTAGCTCAGTAACCTGGAGATGTGTAGCGTCTCAAGCAAGTTTGACACGAGGTGAACTATTTCAGCCGGCTGTTTTTTATTTACCGTTTACTGAATTTCTATGAGCTACACGACTTGTTTGCCCACTTACAGCGTGTATTAGTTGACATAAGCTCAGTTCGAGAGATTTGCTCAGGTCGCGTCGTACTTGCCAAGAGCACTATACAGTGTTTACTTTCGTTTCATTTCTCCAGGGTTAACCGAACTGCCGAACTGGACGTGAAATATAGGAGAATGAGCTGAAGGAATCATCGGGAAAACGAGGTTAGCCCATAAAAAGGATGATATTGGAAAAATATATACTATTTAAAGTTTTATAATCAGTTTTAATCAGCTAAAATGCTCGCATGGCCAGTGTTCTCTCTGTCTTGAGCTGTATCTTGGTTAGTTTCTCACTCCGCCCGCTTGAAAAAAATTGGCTTCACAACTTGGAATTCGATATCTATTAGAACTGGTGAGTTCATTTCCTCGTGAGTGGAAGGGAAATGTGTGGTAGTTCTTCTGAGTTCCCTTTGATAAAGTTTCTAACTTGGCAAAACCATTTGTACCTTGCAATAAGATCATTCATAACTCAGATGTCACTCAGCATCATGCACAGCACGTGTTTGACTGAGAATATGCAGTATCGATTGTTTTGTTTATTTACTACCTTAACCTTAGCTATTCTTAGACTTTGCTTCAGCGATAATATTTTCGAAGAAATGTTTTCACGACATATACAGGGTTGTTAAAAATTTCGCCTGCGGGGATTAAAATAAGAACTGACAATGGCTCGAGCTGAGTTCAGTACAGCTGTAACAAATAGTATCGAATTGAAGTGGAAACCGCTATTTTCAATTCTAGACCTTTCTAAAATCCTTTTTCAAAAGATTGGTTAATTCCATTCAGAAAAAAAAATCATTTTTCAGTAGACAAGTGTCACGGAATATTCTGGCTTCTGTGGTACTTTAATGAACGCTGTCAAACACGACCGTGCTCTGCTGCTTGCCAAAAAGATTTATTGCAGCAAATTTGCGGGTTCCTTCATTAGGAGAACCTGCTTAATGATTAATAGTTCAAAAGAATCGATGACCACGAAACCCATCGGCAGATAATGGTCTAATTCATGTATAAGAAACCGTAAAGACTTATTATCTTACACGTACAGACAAAGCCTGGCTATTAATAGCGTTCTGAAAAAATAAAAAACGTCCGACTCTAAGGAGCCTTAGCAGTTAGCAGGATTTCTTTTCCAATTGAAACTGTGAAAAGAGTCATAACGACGTGGGAATTAAAAAGATCCTCTTAGGTTATGAAGTCATGCATTATTTATAGTTGAAGCTTTGTCTAAATGAAGCCATGTTTGCAGTCAACTAATTTCAGTCTGGTCGCTCTTCATGTTAGCTAGTGCTTCAATCACATAATAACACACTGGAGAAGATTTCAGTGCACGGTTGACGGCTTTAGCATTTTCTCAAATATTCCCAAGGTAAAACTTTTATACCGATATGATTTCTTTCAAGTTAGCCAGATTTTAGTTGTTTGTAGTCGAATACTTTCCTTGAACGAGAAAGCCGACTGAAAAAAGTTGCGGGATTTAAGTATGTTGCAGTCTGTTTTCTCTCTCCTTCTCCCTTCCACGGTCGTAGATGCGTGAAAGGGAAGCCAGGAGAGACGTCAGTCTCTCTCGACCAAAGGTCTTGCTCCACGTGAAAAGGAAAACAGACCGTTGTGACAGCATTGTTTGAAAAGGAAAAATATTTGCATCAGAAGAACGCACGTGATGCATCCCGGGGTAGCTAGGCAGTCGAACAAAATCGAAAAGATAATTTGTAAAGCAGAAGAAATTAAAATCAAAACATGGATTTCATCATTCCAAACGAGCTGAGTATCCAAATATCATCGAACGTAATTGGACTCTTGATCAACCCTTCGATTTCCGAACTCTCGCTTGGTAATATGTGTAATATGTAATATGATTTTCAGAAGAGGCTGTCTTTGGAGATATGTACGTAATCTTCATTTAACGCGATAATCTGATTTGGCTGCTCCTAAACTAACAAGAGTACGGCTACACCCCTCCGGCCCAAGGGCTGCAGGCAAAGTTAAGTTGTCTGTAGAAGTGCAAAGTTAAGTTAATACAAGGCGATTTTGACATGGAAACAGACGAAAATTTTGAAGCGTGAACCAGCTCCAGAATAGAAGGTGACTCAATGAAGTCATGAAGACAAGGAAGTTATTTAATAAATGTTTCTGGGAGTTTCCGTTAGAGGCTAAGTTCATCAGCTTTTGTTGCGAAATTAACAGATTCAATGAAATGTTCAGAAGTATCTAAATACCGATGAGAAAATTGCTTTTATTGTTACGTGCACCTGCTTTTTTGGGCTTGATAACAGTGGACATCAATTTTAGCTGTTCGATTGAATTCGATTTTCGTTTGATTAGTTTTGGTTTAATAATCGAACTCTCAGAAAAAAAGGAGCTGTTGGAATTTGTTTGAGCATCGAATTGTATCGAACACAACATGATGGATTGTGTTTAGTAGTAAGTTAGTTCGATTCTTTGGTATCCCGCAACTCGCAGAAAACAGTCGCTCGATTCTGTTCCATTAATGGGTTTGTAAGATCCAAACACCAGTTCATTAACACCTTTAGCTTCCTCTTGTAGTTACCACTGAAAGAAATACATTTTGGGGGTTCTTTCTGTAGCATGCGAAACTCTTTGGGGGAAACGGCCTGGTCAAACGCAACTTCAGTATCATCAACAACTCATCTTGATCTTCAGGGCAGAAATTTGAATAAAGGAGTTTTAAAAATTCTCAGTTGGAGATAAAGGGAGTTCAATCATACTCGATCCGTGGTTTGAGTTGCATCATGTCAATAAAGTTTAATTGCCATGATTACTGAAAGTTCGATTGCCCTCCCCAAACAGATTCTGTGCATTGTTCACGATATCCACGGATAGTTAGTCGGTAGTGGATGTAAAAACACTTCAATACACAATATATTGCTATTACAGTAAAGAAGATCGCAAAAGTGCATGGGTTTTTTTTGTTTTCGGTCTTGTTTTCGGCAAAAGGTGGAAAAAATTTTATGCTAACTCTAATTCATTTTAGGTTTTTGATCAAAACATTTTACAATTTACTGTAATTTCATATTAATGTAATGACTCTATTTACTTATCTAATTTTTTTTATTCACAAACAGTACAGCACGGTCCTTATTCTTTCTTTATTCTGTGATGGTGTTGTTGAAAGTGGTAATACTTTAATGCCTTTGTACTTACTTCGATTCCGACATAATTTCCGCGTGAGAAGAGATTAACAGGCCATAATTGTTAGCTTGTCATAATAGAAGTAATTCTGCGGGGGCTGCTTTGTTTAAATTACAGCTTTTATATTTTCTCAGATCCAATATATATCGTCAAAGAAATCTGTGCCTTTTCAAATAAAATGTCAAAAAGTGTGCAAGATAAACCCAAAGATTGCTGTTTTTTAGTCCACTTGTCATGTTGTTAAAAGACCATTCATCAGGTTTTCGAGATAAGTGATTTGTTATGCAAGTTTACTCGTACGAGCTGGATCGGAGATAGCCATAAGGGTTTTTTATGCTTTAAGGCAGATAATCGAACTTTTTAAATCAATTGACTGAAACTCCGTTGGTCAAATCACTCAGTTGAGCTTGATCTAAGGAAGAATTATTTACCGCTGAGAAAAAACAAGGTTGGTAAAGAACATCTGTTTCATTGTAGATGATGGATGTAGCTTCTGCATTAGCTTAGGAGCCAAGGCTAGTAGGGAAATCTTCTATAGGCCATTTTCGCCAAATACGGATTTGCTTTCATGCATTTGATACATCTTCCTACAGGAAGTAAAGCAAGGTTCAAGGTAGAAACCAGCGCCACCTTATTCCAAACGCCTCCTTGTACGATTTGTAGGGATGACCATGGATTTAATAAACAGTTCAACACCAGACTCTTCTAATACAAATAATACCTCGACGGTTCAGGAAAACATGGGTTCACTTGGATTCTATGGTACAGACGAATATAGCGCCATTATTGTAGCACTTCTTACCGTTGTAATAGTGTTTGGTGTTTTGGGAAATTTAGCCGTTATTGGAACGCTATTCCAACGCCAGCGTAACCTAAAGACCTCTAGTAACTACTTGATCATAAATATCGCCGTTTCCGATCTCTTAGTTGCTGTCATTATAGCTCCACTTCGCTTTGTAGAAATGTACCATGGCTGGCCGCTCGGGAATTTCTTGTGTCATTTCTTAGCGCCTCTGCAAGACGTGATTGTATGCGTTTCTGTAGTCACACACACCTTCATTGCGCTGGAACGATACCGTGGAATAGTCCAGCCATTTAAAGAAAAGCTCACCATTCAGCGAACAAAGCAAGTTATTGGAATCATTTGGCTAACTTGCTACATTGCAAGTGGGCTTCCTGTGGCTTTTGTGGTGAAGGAAAGCGTCGAGCATGGACACCAAGTTTGCAATGTTTCGTGGCCATCGGATCTTTCTCGTCAACTTTTTATACTTTACCTAGTCATCATATTTGTCTTTATACCCTTGGTCATTCAGACGTATGCCTATTCACAAATCGTTAAAGTAGTTAACTTAGAAATTACGGCTGTCAGGAAAGACGAGTTCGTGGAAATTCGCGCAGTTAAACTTGCGCAAAGCAGAGCTCGCGTGCTTAAAACGTTAATCCTGCTTGTTTGCGCATTCTACATATGTTCCATTCCTCGTGTATTTACCATGCTATTGTGGGAATTCGGCGGTGGCCTGAAAGAGAACCTCGATTTCCATTACGCCATCACAATAACTCTGATTGTGTATTACCTTAAACACGTCATCAACCCATTCATCATCTTTGGTACGAGTGCAGAATTCCGCTATAATTGTGGCTACATGTGTTGTCCACCAAGTGAGTAGGCGGGTAGGTATTCAGCACACGAGCCACACCTACCTTATTATTCAGTCGACTGAACGGGCTGAGTTAATTTTTTTCGAAATCGTATTCATCATATCATTGACAATACGGGGACGACCATTTTTTATCGTGGGGTGAAGGCGGTGGGAGGGTTTTGTTGTGTCGCATTAAAACTACCTCATCTCTTCCGATGCCCAGTAGTATTCTAGTAATCCCCCTTATTGGCGGTCAATGTTCTACATTTCCTCCTTTAAACTTTGCTAACTAAGACTGATCCCACTCCGTCCCCCTAAAAACCATGCGATCCTTCTCCGACCCCACACCCCCCCGCCCCACACACAAGTGATAGATAATGACCGGGCCCCAACGATGGTGAGTCAATCGTAATATCATGTACGAAACAAGAACATCTTTGAAAAATAATATCTCGCTTTTCTGCTGAGATAGAACCTTCGTTATGATGACGGCTCTCAACCGACGTCCAGCTCCTTACTGGAACCGTGAAGCCACAGCGTCTTTTATCATCACACATGTTATGGGTTCTACTTTTTACAGGGGCTGATTAACGGATATGAATTTGTCTTTGGCAGGTTTGTCACATTCACCACGACCAAAACTAGTGAGTAGCAACTGATGAAAACCTGCTGAACTTTGGTTTCACTTCTGGAACTACATTTCAGCGATAGACCAGTGGAGCCGGATATGCTCGTAGCGTCCAAGAAATGAATGAAGGACTCATGACGGTTTCACGTTTGTGAGAAAAGCAGACTGAACTTAATTTCTGTTAACTCTTGCGTTTCCAATCAGCACATTCACTATTTATTTAGTTATTGGGAGTTTCCGAAACGTTAGAATCAGGTCTTGATAACAAGATTTAGTTCGGAATTATGCATTTATTGTAGGAGCAGGCAACAAACTCATTTATTGAGCAGCTGAGATAATTAGCAATATTCAAATATATCTGAAGGATACATTGTATCAGATAGGGCCATAGCTTAATTTAACGTTGAAGAAAAAAAAACGCTTTCTCTGAAGAAAAATCGTCAATTTTTAACATCCCAGTCTTAAAATATGATAAATGTCAATAGCTCTAGATCGAAAGCGTATCTACACGGCCATTACCGTACAACGTACAACAGCTTATTAAAGTATCTCGTATAGCTGCTGATTATTTCAAGCTTTCTCACTAAAATAGACACCTGTCCTAAATCAGATGTCCCAAAATTGAGAGCCCGGAGAGCTGCCATATATATCTGAGGTTGGAGTAGTTTAACACAGCGGTCAAACGTCAGTCATGCGCGAGGCAATTAACGTTAGCCGGCCCACTATTTGGCTTGTGTGATTAATTGTAAACTGTGTGAGACAACTTGGTTGTCTTCACGTCACCTTGTCATCACAACGCCCGTACTTGCGCAGACGTTTGACTGTTTTTGTGGGATAGTTTGGGAAGCTCCATCTTCCCCTTTAAAAAAAAAAACACCCGATAAGTGACAACTAAACGTGACCAAACCTGTAGAGCCGGACATGAAGTAGTCGTTTTCATTCTATGTCTGCTAGTTTCACAATCTAGACGAACACTACTTTTTCTCTTTTTCCTTCGAGCACATCTGGCGAGCTGCTGTCACATAAGTTACTCATTTCTTTTTCTTCAAATATCTCGCTATTGCGTGACACTTGAGTTCGAGAGTTCTTAGACATATATCGCGACATGCTTGAAGCAAAGTCCGACTCATTTCTGCAAAGTCTTCGGGGGAAGCAGTTTTTTCGAAACTCAGTACTCATCGCAAATAAAATAAATGGGTTTAAAACGTGTTTGATATAAAATATGAGAATTGTTGAGACGTTGCCAATCATCATACCATCCCTGTTTGCTTCCTTGTAGGATGCACTAGCGAACTCATAAACTAGCATGAAGATTCCCCGCGGAATAAAACAGACTTGAAAGACAGCCACTAAAATGACCAGCATTTTAACTAAATGTGCCTTCTTTCGGATCTGATTTCTTCGTTGTTCCACAGTTCCACTTCGTGTAATAGTTTGCGTAGAAGCGTCCTCTTTCTTCATGGTTGCAACAATTTTGATGTAAGTGACAGTTTGCATTATAAGAGGTACCAGTATGAAAGCTGTGACGAGGAACACTTCATAAACTTGGCGACCATGGATCGAGGGCCAAAAGGCTTTGCAATATTTTTTACCTTTATCTTCTACCTCCTTCAAAACTAAGGCCAGCGGTAAGCCTATTGTCAAAAAGCATGCGCACCAAATGATCGCTATGGCAATCTTGGCTGTTGAAACATTCAGTTTGGGCTTAAACGGCGTCACAATGCCGCGGTGTCTTTCCAGAGCTATCACGGTATGCGTGACAGCCGAAACACATACAATCACCTCCTGGAAGGGCGCCAAGAAGCGACAAAAAAATTCACCCAGTGGCCAACCGATAAACAACTCGGCCATACGTAGCGGGCTAAGGATCAAAGCCACAAGAAAGTCTGCAAGGGCGATGTTTGTAATGAATAGATTACACGGCGTCCTCATACTCCGCCTGGCTGCAATAGTGGCAATAACTAGGATATTGCCTATTACACCAGCTGTGATAACGAACGCAAACAAGCTAGCATAAACCACATTTATGAAATTACCACTCGGTGACTTTTGGTTTGTTGGTACCAGCTGAGTAGCATTTGGCGTCAGAGAATACACAGATGTGTTCGCCGTTGGCGGGAATCTGTACCCAGTTAGGTTGTTCATAGCGTCCAGGATGGCTAAATTCACTCCAGAATAACTGCAAGAAAGTACAATTTACTGTTGTTAGCTGGAAAATTATTTATATACAGTTTTCAATTTTAATGCTTTGTATTTGCTCTAAATTGTTAGTTGACAGAAGAGAAGGAGATTGACATGTTTAGCGTACAATTTAATAGGCCTGTGTCAATAGTGAATAGTGATTAAGATAAAAAGCCATTGGCCATTCATGTTACCGATCTGTCTGGCTTTTTATCAAGGAGGGTGAGTCAGCGTTGTAAACCAGCGGAAGTACGCTTGCATGAAAGGCCATTCATTTTGCTGACCTCCACGCGTGAGCGAGAGGCCACGCATGTTTGCGTGTCTGCCCTCTCGCATGCGTGGTATTTGCGTTCATGTGCGTAAGTGCTATGTAAGACTTTGACGATAATTTGCAGAGTCGCTACAAATTTGTCACCGATTTCTTGATTAACTGTCTGTAGTCTCTATGTTCAAATTCAAAGCGGTTCCCATAAATTTCATCTATATGGCTCACTGAAAATCCTGGCTTTCCTTTAAACTGAACGCTGTCAAATTTGAGTCCTAGAATGGAAATTGAACTTCATCGACTTTAACTTGTCCATCGATTTCGTCTTTGGTTTGAATCGGTGGGACGATGAAGGAGCAAGAAATGTATACATTCAGTGAAGAAAACACTCAGCCAGTATGCTCTTAGATAAATTAAGACGGTACAGTAGACGCCCAACAATTTTCGCTTTTTTTGCACAAGCCGGAACGAAGAGCCTAAGAGGGTGTGTGCTGTCGGACGTTAGCGGTTAGCCAGCCATTTCTACGTTTGCGGGTAACTTTATACTAAAACACGAGCACAGGTTGTGTTGTGGCATACACTTACTTCCCTTGATATTTTTGACTCGCATTCCGACATAAATGTTTAATTTGATAATTTTAGAAAGTCAATTCACCAAAAATTGTTCATAATGTTTTAAATTACCTTCTTGATGCCTTACTGATCTCAAGCCTGACGAAAATACAAAAACATGTACCCGTTTTGTCTCCTTGAACTGAATTTTATACATCCTCTCGACTCCGCCTGAACTGTGTAAATCTGGGCAGATCCCTGGTTCTCACGTTCCTTTTGTCTGATATAGTATTTTCGTCAAGTCATCAGCGCGTACATGCAAATGACTCAATCACGTCAAGAAAAAGCCAGTTAGATAATCATCCGGACTGATCTAAAATGTGCCAATCGTTTGAGTAAAAAAACAAAACGAGTTTCGACAGTGAACCTCCCTGTAGGAGTTATTCACCCCCAACTGTGAGGTGCATTAGTGTATATTTAAATTAAATTGCAAGCTATATTTTTACTGATCTTACTTGGATGAAAAAATAAAAAGAAAACAAGAAATAAATAGCTGGTGTTCCCAATTTTGCCCTCGAACTGAATACCCAATTAATTGAAGTTTACGTAGTCTTAAGACGCCTGTGTTTTTCTTTCATTTGCATTCGTGCAAAAATCACAGCATATGATATGATAAACTCAGTACTTAAATGTTTTTTTTTTTTTTGTCCATTACCCTCAAGGTAATTACTGGGTTGTACTATGTTCTATTACGTGTGGAGCAAACCGCTTAATGGTTTACTTTTGAGGGAAACAAACCCTGCATGTGGTATATTTAACATTTTAATCGATTTACAAGAAAAATATTTATAACCTTGACATTTCTTTCACAGTACCTTAAAAAGTTTGCTGTGCTGAGCACTAGAAAGGAATTTTCGAGCGAAGGTGCAAATATCCTTCGAGATTTAAACCGTTACAAATAATGGAGAGCTTGGCATCTCTTTTGTTCCTTTATTACCCCAATATTCACTGAAGAGTGTTCGTTCAAAATTCATATTTCATGCTGATGCGATTAGATATTGTTTTTACCATCATGTGAAAGTTATTTTTTTTAAGTAAAGATTTAGACCAAACATCCTGCGGCACCGGATCCGAAAAAGATTATGTTTTTTCTTGACAATCGAAGGATTGTTGAACTGTAGTTTTTAGCTCTTTTTCGACGCCTTTACGTCTGGCTTAGTTTAATATTTTTGTATCTTTAGACTTTGAATTAATCAGCTAATAAAAATCCGTATCTTAAAGCACCTCAGCATAAGGAGATTAGTGTAAACAGCATAGTTGTTTTTAGAAAACCAGTTTTTTTATGAAAAATAATTGCTTTGTTTGTCGCAGACAAACTGCCAAAGACATCATGTTCATAATCTCAACAAGCTCTGACTAAGTTTGATTAGTTTCTTAGCTCGCAATCAAGTTCAGACTCTAAAAATTCAGCATAAGTCTATTGACAGACAGATGAAACGAATTGCCGTGGTTAATTTTGCAACGCGGAAGTAGTAAGACCAGACAAAAATAAAAGCTTTGTCTGGAGAAAAACATCGATTGCAATCTGAAAAAGCTACAAACATTTCGCTGATATCTTTCATATTTTGAATCTGCCGAGGTTCTGAAAAACGCTTAATATACGAAATTCTGGACTCCTTTTGCTGAACAATTGACCGCTTTCCTAGTGGAGTGGAATGACCGACCACAAGGGCTTTTCGTTGAGGCAGAGGCATTGATCTGTTACAAGTCGATAATTTACGAGTTAACTTTGTAGCACAGAGCCTGCCGTTATATAACTGGTAAGCTAAACTCTGTACGTTCTGTGATAATAATATTCTCAAATGATTGATGACCTTTTTATCCTTAGCAAGAAAATGACATTTCAGCGATCAAAGCAAGGCTCATGCTTAATTTATACGCTCAATACACGCTCGTAAACTTCTCTTCTCACGAGACGACTGAAGTTTGCGTTCTGCTTTTGCGAGATGATTATGAAAAAAGACAATTGTATCACAGTGATTGAATTTTTCCTCTGTGTAGATCCTGTTACTGCTATTTCCATCTAAAACTGTTTTTGTTAAGTTATGCAAGATTTCGTTGATATAGCTTTTGATCTTCATTTGATGTTGGACTGATTGGAAATAAGTATTATTTAGTGGTGCAGTATTACATTACTGCGTAATTATTGTCTGTATTTTATGCAAAAGAAAGGAAATACAAAAATGATATTGTGTCAGGTGTTAGATGAGAGCCAAAGCTTAAAAAAATCCTCAGCAATAACAGTTATTGACGCGATTAGTGTTGCATTAGCCTGCCGTTAGACTTAAAAATCAGTTGGATAAGTCTGGCAAATTTTGAAAGCAAATTAGAAGTGAACAGTCCAAAATAAAAATTTCCGATTGATTAACATCCACCGAAACACATATAACTATGTTGAATATAAAGTATATGAAAACCCGATCGGATATGAACTCATATATGAAGGACGTACCAAATGTATATACATTAAATCCTGGACAGACGAGTGGGCAAAACATCCATGCAGAACTGACATGTATAGCCAGCCAAATGACACTTAAAATAATAAAATTCTCCATTTATATATTTATGTTAACTCTATCCGTTTGAGATTGGTCCCAGAGCTTCAAAATGTGGATAAAAGCCTTTATTTATGTTATGTTTATCATAAGTTAAGGGATACTTCTATCTCAGACAGATCCATGGGATAATTTCTCCATCCAATGGATGCCCTCAAATTAAAGCTGCCACTGTGTAAGTCTTAGTGGATTTAGTGGGCTTCCTTTGGTTTTGTGACAGCTCCCAAAATCGAAGAAGATTTTAGGTAAATACTTACAAACCACTTTCTTCCTTTTATTGACAATTGCCGATCCATTCCTAACGCATTCTCATGCCTTATTTAACCACGCTATGCCAGTCGTATCGAGAGATCGCCTTTGTTCATAATTATGGTAAATCAAAACAAATCACTCTGTAAAATGCTTTGAGCATATTGCTCAAATAATGTGTGAAACAAAACAAACAAGGAATGAAATTAGATTCAACACGAACCATTATGTTCTACCGTTTGTTTCCAACACCTCGAAGCGAAGAAACGAGCCAGTTAGTTTGGGACACTGAATTATAAGTTTACTGCAAAAAATAATAATAATTGTAACAAGTTGTACTGAACTATAAATTTCGGTTTTCTTTTCCTCCAAGAAGGGAAATTTAGTGAAACACTGATCAAGAGCTTTTCCTTTCTCAGAAGCACTAGGTTCTTTAAATCTTGACTTTCCATTTACTTTCACAATTTAACCTTACAAAGTCACAGTAGTGTTATTCTTTTAACATGGATCTCCACTACAACAAAATTAAAACCTTAGAAATAAAAGCTACGTACGTCAATTCATGCTGAGTATTATGCTGCGTTTCAGCATATTAAGCAAAGAACAAATCGCTTTAAACTGCATGACGTCTTTCGAGCCTATAGAAATTGTTGTCGCTATACTCTGCAGTTAGCAAGTCAGTGACGCACGACGAAGATGCCTTCATGCTCCAAAACTGTGACTTTAGGCTCTTTCATGCAGTATCTGTTCTTTTAAAAAACATTTCTGTTGTCGTATAGCTTGATTTAAGAAGGTGAAGGATTTCAAGGAATGAAACGACATCGTTTGTAGTGAGCAATAAAAAGTTCTTGAAAAGTTCTACCTTAGTTTTTCTGTCCAGTGTACTTACACAACAACGACGGCATATGAGTCGAGACTAACTTGGTGGTAGTGTTTCTTTCTGCGATCTCATAAATTCATCGTCATTGAAGACAATCAGTCTTATAATAGGTTCGTAGGAATTAACAGGAATTAAGTGTAGGTCTTTGCAACGGCCACAAACTAAATTTGAAGAACACTCACTAAAATATCAAGTCCAAACGCGACAACCTCAACTGAGCTGTTCCCACAAGCGCGAGTCCTCTTTCGTTGACAACTGTGTCACATAAGCAGCTTTGATATCGACTTGCTAATATAGATGTCAGCTGATCGCGTGCTACCATTGGTGAAACAGCTATGACAGACACCTGGAGCCCTATCAAGCCTACACAATGCATTTTGAATTAACAATTCACATCTGCACCGTCCTGATCAATTCAATAAGTATTCCGTGTA